AAAGCCAAATTCAAACTGGTAAAAGAAATATATATATGCATTTCTTATAGATACTTGTACATGATACTTATTCATATATTTGTTAGTAGAAATAAACTATGCAGCATACTTCAAGATTAATGATTATTAACAAAAGTTTTCCTGTCTACCAGATTCACTGATGAAGAGTGCAGGACTGGCATAATAGTGCCTCCTAGTAGGACATGCCAAAATAAAGCCAATAGAAAACCCTGGCATGTAGACCTTCAAACAGGAAGAAAAAAACACAGATGTGCTCTAGCAAAGCAAGTGTTACCCTCTTGGTTACAAAGATGTGATCAAAGTTGAAAAGATGGAAAATAAACCAAACCAAAATGAAACACAGCTACAAATGTGTTCTCCCTTATCTGCTCCAAAGTATCACTTCCTATCAAACATCTCATTCCAGGTGTGTTCTTCCCTTTCTTTTTCATTATAAATGAAGTGTTTCCAGCCTAGAGCAAGAGGAGGCTGACTGAAGAGGAATTCAAGTATGTAGAAGACTTGAATTTCTAAACATATATCATGAGAATCATTCATTGTATATTTAACTTATCAAACTCACTCTCTCTGGTTTATTTTTTAGTGCTGCTGGTGTCATATGTGACATATTAGTACTGAGTCCATCCCTGGAGCCCTCAGCATAAGAAAGATATCAACCAGTTGGAGTGAGTCCAGAGGAGGCCACAAAGATGCTCCGAGGGCTGGAGCACCTCTGCTATGGGGACAAGCTGAGAGAGTTGGGCTTGTTCAGCCTGGAGAAGAGAAGGCTCCAGGGAGACCTTATAGCATCTTCCAGTACCTGAAGGGGCTACAAGGAAGCTGGGGGGGACTTTTTACAAGGGCCTGTAGTGACAGGACAAGGGGCAATGGGTTTAAATTGAAAGTGGTGAGATTTAGATTAGATATCAGGGAAAAAATTCTTCCCAGAGATGTTGGTGAAGCACAGGAAAAGGTTGCCCAGAGAAGCTGTGGATGCCCCATCCCTGGAAGTATTCAAGGCCAGGCTGGATGAGGCTTTAAGCAACCTGGTCTAGTGGAAGGTGCCCCTGCCTATGTCAGGGGAGTTGGAACTAGATGCTTTTTAAAGTCCCAACATAAACCAATCTATGATTCTATGATATTAAATAAAGCTAACAGCAAAGATACCATACAGAAAGCTGCCTTGCATCTATTCAAAACATTGGTGTATTTTGTTGACTTTAAAGGTATACACTGATCCCATTTTGTACCAAAATTACATAGTTTCCAATTACCTTCCTCAAGGCTACATTTTAGCAATCTAAACTTTTTTTACTTCACTACTGTACTTTGAAAAGGATTAAAATAATCATCTAAACTCAGATTTTGCTTCTTCAGTATGTTTAGAAGGAGTTGATGACTATCCACTTCCTGATCAGATGTATTTCTCTTCTCATCTTGAGCAACTTTCTTTCTCTGAATTTAAAACTTTCACATCATGAGCAGAGAGATTTTACTATAGTACTCTAAGATGGTGCTATATATGGGTAGTTGCATTTTCCAAGCGATAATCCTATCAAAACTACTCTTATAGCATCATTTTCTGTTAGGAAAGATTTTAGCTCTTCTGCTTGTGGCTACTTAGACTCAAGCACATTATGCTCTCACTAACTATTATTCTATTAGCCTTCAAAAGGAACAAGATATGTGGCACCTGCTTGCTGTGATGCTGTTCTCTAAAAGTAACCATATCCATTCTGCGGTATTCAACATAAGGCCTGTAACAACTGTATTCCGCAAATTTAATCTTATATGCAAATACTTCTGCAACTTCAAGCCACTACTCCAGGATATAAATGGATATTTTTGTAAATTTGGGGAGTTGACATCTATATCTTTCAGATACCATGCATCTAATAAAAATATTTATGTATTGTTCTGCTCAGAGATGTGCTGCTTCCCAAATAGACACAAGTAGTAACATGTGTTTTGTTTCTGAAACCATTACACTGTCATTTTCCCAGCACTTGACAAGCTACTCTTAGGGCTATTAGCCCTAAAAATAGTTATACTATAGCCACTCTATTGTTTGTCTATAAACTTCTTCCATAATCATTAAATAATGATGAAATCTACTGTAAATTTAACGTCTTAAATTCTTTTAAAGACTAAAATTATTTTTTCCTGTAGAAGTGAGATTAGCTATAATACATGATCTTATTTTGTATTATCTACTGCTCCGAAATGTTTTTCAGCTTTAACATAGCAATATATTTAACAATAACTGCTCTGACAGGCACTATGGACATGCTTCTTCATATGGTTTCCTTTAACATCTTTGTGTGAGCTATGCATTATTTTAGCAGAGGCTACCCAATCTATTTCCTTTGTGACTATGTGGTTTATACACGGGATAAAACTTTTATAAATGTTAGTTCTCTGGATAGCATTTTATAGATACTCCCCAACTTTCTTGCTACAAGCAGAAGGGTGGGGGTGCAGTCCATACAGCTAACCCAAATTGACCACAGGGGTATTTCATTCCACTGGATGTTAAGCTCAGTATATAAATCGGCAGTAGGCTGGGGGAACATGGTTCCTTGTTTGTTTGTTAGTTAATTAGTTGATGGGTCAGTTTGTTTTCTAGATCTCTCTCTCACTCATGGGGCTCACTCAGACTCTGCTGCAGTCACTCTTGGGCTCCAGCTCTCAGGATCTCTGGCTCTGGCTCTTGCTACTCAGGAACTGGCTGGGTATCATTTGGAGGGTAGTGAGCAATTGTGTAATTTGTTTTATTGGCCATTGTTTTCATCGCATATTCTTATTGTTAGTATTATTAGTTTCACTATTTTATTAATTTATATTCAATTATTAAATTTTTCTTATCTCAATCTGTGAGCTTCCTTGTCTTGTCCTCGGATTCTCCTTCTCCACTGGAGGAGGGTGGGAGGTCAGCGAGTGGCTGTGTGTTACTAATTGCTAGCTGGGGTTAAACCACGACAAGGCCTCATCTTTCTTTCAGTTCTTACTTCAGTTCTTTTGCTTATTTTAACACTATTTCAACTCTTGTTTTACTTCATTTGGCAATCCCCAATTCCTGCATGTATGTCCTCTTTGTTTCATCTTGATTCAAGACAAATCTCAGCTCACAGATCCCCTTGTAAAACACTATTATTTCTCCTGACACAGATCATTTGCTGTTACTCGGAATCTTGCAGCTGAATAAGACCTGAATAATGTCATTGATATGATTTGAACTTAGTGAAGAAATACTGTGTGCATAGTGCCAGTTCTCCCTAGATAAGGTAGGGGACAAAGACTAAAAGACAGTTTGTTTACTTACTTCCTCCTCACCTCTTTACATCAAATATTCCTTCCTCTAAACTTTAACTCTAGAAGTCTGTTTCTGGCTTTATCATTGCTTTTCATCTGTTTTCTCTGGTGTTTACGCTGCTTCTCTGATTCGCACATAATCAAAATCATTTGTAAAATAGCCTGATCTCCCTGATTCCTATCACTTTAGCACTTCCATGGGCGTTTAGATTTCTGGTGCATGCTTCAGTTACTTCACAAGTTTGTATGCAGCTTACTCAAGGGTTTTAAACCATCACTAAGATTTAATTTTCCCCATACTAAACCTAAAAGGAAGGAGGTTTTCACCCTCAAAATAATAACAGGTTTATATATCAGAAAATACAAGATGCCAAAAAGAACAGCAGGGCTGAAGTCAAGTCCCCATAGCACAGTGTAGAAAAATTGTTATATGGATTAAAACTAGATTCCTAACAACTAAATGTTCAAATGCAAAGTGAACAGAATCTTAAGTTCTTCAGGAGATTTTAATTTCATAGCAAGTTGCTGAAATCATGAAAATTATAAAGATATTATTAAAGCTGCAGTAAATGTCTACAACATATAGGGAATCCTATATTTAATAATACTATATACCTTTTATCCAATATATTCCATTACATTTTATTCCTTTATCTTCCTTACTATGTGCTTCATTTAAAGTACTGGACACAGCTTTTGCCATACAATGGTTTAGTGCATACTATTAACACAGATAAAATCAGTACTAGATTTAAGATGTATTTTAGAAAAAATCAGTACTAGATTTAAGACGTATTTTAGAAAAACATAAAACATTCATATACATCACAGTGATAAATTATTTGTAAAAAGAAAGTTAAAACAAATTGCAAAGAAGTCAGCTGAACAATCTCACAACATGAAATAGTATCATTGTGCAGTACTGACAGTCTTTGTGTCATACCGTTTTCTATTCTGATTAGTTTTGACATTTAAAGCCAGATCCTCAGCTCACGTCCTTCAAAAATCGCTGCAGTAAATGGGAACTTAGCACCTCTGTGCTTGCTGAATCCCACCCTGTGTGTTATAACAGACAAACTAACCATCTGTCTTCGGCTTCCAATCTTGCATCTAAAGTTTTGTACCTAGTCTAGAACATCTGACCTGGAAAACATTTACAGTGTTGGAATTGCTCTGCAAAACCATATTCCACAAGCTTAATTCTGTATTTCTTTTGGCTGTGGATTATGTATGGTGTGTTATGGAATCTTTCCTTCTCTTTAAAGAATCACAGTGATTAGCCCTCTCAGTATAGAAGCATTATCCCTATTTGCTAATGCAAGCTATGTACTACTAAGACCTCATTCTCTGAAGAGAGAGATCAACATTTAAAAAACATTTTTAAATAAAATAATGTGCTGTGAGAAGTAGTTTTTGATGTTGTTTAACATATGGAAGACACCATGTAAGAAATATACCATATGAAAATGTCTAATTTGTAATAAAGTTAAGAATTTTTTCTGTTTAGAAAAATTCAATACAATCCATAAATGTCAACAAAATTTGTAATATTTTCCCCAGGTAAGAAAAAGACAATGAGAAAATAATGTTAGAAATGTAGAGAAGGAAACAGTGTATTGGAGCTTTTCTATGCTACTGCAGCAACTAAGATTAATGAACATGGAACAAATGGTTGACATATCACCTACCCATGGGAGTTCCAACGCCGTAACCTTTTGAGTCTATCAGTCCTCCAATCTGTGTTAGGTTACAGTTCCGCTGTGTGACAAACTCAATGGTTGTCGACTCCATTAAAAATGCATAATCAGAGGTAAGCACACGCTGGATACCTTCTTCATTGCTTTTGACAAGTACTGACTGCCTCCTGCTACTCATGAAGGCCCACATCTTGTCGTAAGTGGAGATTTTGGATTTCTGAAAGACAAATATTAGGTGCAACACGGATTAGAATAATATGCTTCTAAGAGTAAAAACAGTTTGCACATTGCTCTCTTACTGTATTTTACAATGTACCATGTTCTACCAAGGCATTCTTCTAAGGGTGCCTGTAACTTTCATCTCTTCTGTACCCCTCCTCTTATCTGTGTAAAACAAAAAGTTGGGCAGATTCTTCAGAAAATGTGCAATATCTGTTGTTTATCTTGTTTTCGTTGTTTAGATATTTTTATGTACGATGAAAGTCTATAGTATTTGAATTCAGTGGAAAACTATTACGTATTTCACTGTAGCCAAGTTCATCAACAACGTTGGTGAGGTTTATAGGAAAATCTGTGGATTATGGAACATTTAAAATTGTCACTTTTATTTTAAATACTCAGCTACTCCTGAGCAATCCTGAAAACCTAATGCACAGTGTGACAACCTGAAGCAAGGGAAACATTTACAGATGGCAGCATATAGAGAAAACAGTTGTGAGGGAGGGGTCAGCAAATAAATATTTTATCCATGGTACACTGCAAAAATACTTGGAGAAAGATTTTAGCTAAGAGACAGTATCACACTCTGGTCACACTATTACTAGCATGCCATTCAGAAACAGACTACGAAAAGTCCTAAAACTGAATATGTTTTCTGTTTTACTATTCCCAGTATGCAAAAAAAACCCTGTTTTAATAGGAAGAGAGTAGTCTGGGACAAAGGAGACAGTATTTTGGCACAAAGTGATGCTGTGCAACTATAGAGGACTCCCTTTATTTCACCTTTAGAAAAGATACTACCTTCCCTCATCTTTGTAAAACATGGTGCTTAAGAGATCATAACCACTGGATAAATTGAAGTTATTAAAAGTACTGAACATTTTATATTGCATTTGCTCAATCTCTTTAATAAAATGTTTCCAACTCAAGATGTATCAGAAAATGTTCAGTAATAAATCTTGCCTAGTAAACAGAATGTAGAAATACAGCATGAGAACTAGTATAGTAAGACTTTTTAAGGAGTCTTTCATCTTTTAATGTCAGCCTTAAACATAATTCTGCCATCAGCTCTGGTGGAGGTACTAAACAAAGATGACATTACAAACCTTTCTGAAGTTCAGCTGATTGGCAGTTGTAAATTCTGCCCCAGAGGAGAATTAGCAGTGTATGTGGAATAAAAAGAACATTTATTTAGAAAAAAAGATTACTTTGGCCCCCTGCTGAGATACAATCCAAGAGTCATTTCACTCTGCCTGAGGACTTAGAAAATCAAGCATTTGAACTAACTCTAGTGTCAGTGCTAACAAAACTGAAGCCTTCTAGGACTATACATGAACACATTGCTACTGTGCTGAACATAGTCTGTGGCTGATTGCAAAAGATTTTAGTAACAATGAAGGAGGAAATAATTTTTCTTTAGAATATACTATGAATGCATAGGATAGAGAAGACCAAGCAGATACGGTTTCTCCTCATAAGGTTTCTTTTCAAAACCAAATAATTCTTGCAAACATTTAATATTTCATTGTAGCATAACATACTTTAAGCAATGCATATCAGCTCTGTAGGAATCTAAATTACTATGTAATACAGAAAGGATGGAAAATAAATCTTTTTCAATATTTGTAAAATTTTACTAAAGTTCTGTATTTAATTCGTTTGACATACAATCTTTACCTCAGTACACACACACAAAAAAAAAAGCGCCACTATTAGTAATCTGAGTAATATAAAAAAGGGCAGAGAAAATAATTTTCATATACTATTACATACATATTGCTGACACATGGAGTGGGGGGGGGGGAGGAAATAAATAAAAAGCCAAATGAGCTATAATAGAAAATAAAGAAAGAATTAACTGTAATACATATGCACGTCTATATTTCTGTTAAAAAATCCAGGATGAAAATATGTTATCAGAGGGAATGGTTGCTGTCTACTGAAGCATTAGAGCATGTGAAAATATACAGTATCCTTTAAAGGACAGAGTGCTCATATTACGATGACTGATTTAATCAGCCAGGATGAAGTCAGAGATGTTATTAAAAAGGAAGGAACAAAGGTCACCAACAAAATAAGAGGAAGTTCCTGCATAGTATAGCTTGGTCACTGGAATAATTAAAGCAAAAAGTCTACACATGATTAGTGAGATTGTAGAAGATAACAAAATTTAGAACATCAGTGAACATGGCTCACCACTAGGGAGCTAACAAGGGTAAAAAAAAGTGCACAGTGGTCTCAGTTTTCTCATATAGGCAGAACACTAGAATGTCTTTGCACTGCTTTCTTCCACCCCTAAAAGCTAAAAATTGGAACTGAAATGATACCAAGGAAAACAGCCCACCTACTGTGATCCTAAATTCTAACTAGCATTAAGAAATTCTTACCAAAAATAGTTCATACTACAGGTTATGAGATTTGTTTTACACACAACAGAGAATGTTTTATCTGAAAATAAATTTAAAAAAAGAAACTCAGTAAAATACAATCATGAATTATTTTGTTCTGTGTTTGGCAAACTACTCAGACTCACATTACTCAAATCAAGAAGCCAGAACAATCAAAAGCTTCAGGAGCCCATTTGACATTGAACTGAAGGGAGTAACACTCCAATACATACATAATGCTTCTTGCAGTTATGACTGTGTCATTCATACCAATAGAAGCAGATGCTGCAGTTTACATCACATTTCCATTTTCCTTACTGTGTGCAAATCAATCCGGTTAATCAACTTACATACTCCATCAATGAAATGGATTATTTTATCTACATTAATTCACCATATTGTTTTGTCTAACTGGAAATCACTGTCTGGAAATCCAACCTAGCTTGAAATCAACCAGAAATGAAGTCTGTATAAGGTAACCTGTGGTGACATGATTTATCATGCTTGTGTTCACTCGGTAAAGCTGAAGACAAAACAGGGTAGTAAGAAAGCTCTCTATGCTTTACAACATTAGAATTTCACTGAAATAAAATTAAAAAAAACCACAAGAGAACTAACAAACAGGAAAGATGGAAATTAAAAGGTTAAGCAAATCAAGAAATGCATCTACCTGGATGGTAGCTCTCACAGTGACATTCAGAGGATACTGTCAGTGGTATACTCATTGTTCATGAATTAAAGAGCATTAACTGCCCATGTCATGGATCACAAAAGGAAGCATGGCAAAGTCTCTGAACTATATACAAATGTGAGGTTGGAAACAGAAGGAAGCATCATTAGTAATGTGTTACTTCCTGCTCTAACCTCAAGTACTGCCTAGGAAAGACAAATATTTGAACAGTGAGACTGGACCACAAGGTTAGAAAAATATCAGGATTTTGAATGAATGCCAGAATAAATAAGGATCAAAGGACAGGGAAGCAGACCTTATGATACAAGAGAAGACTGGATAAATGCACAGCAATAGTGTGCCAGGCAAACTCTGACATTTTTCTGGGAAGAAAAAATTACAGATCCATTAATGGAGATTTTTATTTTAATGACAGTAACCAACTTCTTTCCTGGCTTCTAAAGCCTTTGGGTACCACAAACAATGCCTCAGATTTGCTTTCATCCATGCAATATTTAAAGTCAAAACAAGATGTAGTAACAAAGGAAAGAGTAAAGGTAATTAAGATTAAATTTTGAGAAAAAAAATAAGCAAAAGTCAGAAGTCCAGTTCTTACATATTTTATTAAAGTACTCTCCATCACATCAGAATTAAACCATGAAAACCTTTATGTCAAAAAACCCCCACACAGGCTCCCAGTCCTACTACACTATTTTCCATTTATGACACTGCCTATAACAGCTATGTGATTTTTGTTTTCCTGAGCATTACACTTTTATTGGACACAGTCCACTTTTCATAAAGTTGCTTATGGATTTATATAAGGGCAAAGGAACAATTATGCACATTTATTCTGAGCTTCTGTAATACACAGATTATTAAATGTCACTTCTGAACTACTTTACCAAGCTCATCACTTACATTTTTGCACTGACAAAAAGAATGACATATGAAAAGTTCATTCATAAAGACCCATCTATATGAGCCTTAGCAAGGTGCCCAACATAGTCACTTATGACATCTCTGATGACGAGATGGTAGGATATGGACTGGACAGATAGAGTACCTACAGGTGGACAACTGTCTATGATGTTGTTGCTTGAAAGGTGGTAGTTAATAGCCCAAGGCCAGATTGGCATCATTAGTGGAGTGCCTCAGGGATCAGTCCTAGACCTGATATGATTCTGTAACTTTATGAACAGTTTGAAAAACTGTATGGAAAGCACCCTCACCAAGTTTCTGCATGACACCAAACAGGGAGGACAGTTAGACAAACTGCAAGAAAGACCTACCATGCAGAGAAACCTCATGAATCTAGAAAATTGGTATAACAGGAATTGTATGATGTTTAACAAAGATAAATGAGAGAAATTGATCCTAAGCATCTGTACTGGCTGGGAATTGACTGACAGGAGTGTATCTTGGCTGAAAAGCATGTAAGAATGCAACAGGACAACAAGCTCAACTTAGTAAGCAGACCATCCTTGCAGCAGGAAAGCAAACTGCAGGCTGTATCAGCACAACTATAGCCGACAGAACAAGGGATGTGATTAATCCACAGTACTTGGCACTCGTCAAGCCACACCAGAAGTGCTGTATCCATATATGGTCCTCCAAGTTCAAGACAGAATGTAAAATTGGAGAGTTTTCACCAGGGTGATCAGAGGGTTGGAGATCTTAACTTAAAAAGACTGATTGTTGGAAATGGTTGTTTTCAACCTAGAATGGAAGGCTTACACAGAACGTCGTTGTGTTCTTCCATTACCTAAAGAGGTTAGAGAGAAGTTGAAGGTATTCTCTTCATGAGGATGAATGGTGACAGGTTAAGAGGCAATAGCCTAAGCTGATGGAGGGAAGTTCTGTGTGGATGTAAGAAAAATATTCTTCATCACCAGAACAAATAAGCATTGGAATAGGTAGCCCACAGAAGTAGTGGAATCA